ACAAATCTCTCTCATTATAAAGAGCTTTATAAATAGTGCGGCATTTTCCAAATATGTCTTCAGATCACTTCTATGAAGAGGTATAAGTTCCATGGCCAAATGTGTGGAAAATTTTGGTTTAAACAAAATCGTTTTCTCCCCTACTGATCTTTGCAGAGCTCCTGTTACTCTAATTTATATGATGGCTCTCCAACAGGGGGCAATTCTGTAAAATGTTTTCCTAATAATGCATTTGACCTCAGAACCTTTTTCTGCAAATTATCACTTTCCAAAATGGAACACATTTTGGGAAACATTGAGTTAGAATTTTCTAATGAGGTGGCAGTCCCTGCTTGACTACATTTTTTTATGAGAGATCAGCCCTCTTAAGGATGATGTAAAAGGAGATTTCTCCACTGAGTGGAACGTTAGATTAAACTACTTCTGAAGTCACTTTCAACTCAACATGCCATTATTCTGTGGCTATTGATGATTTCCTCATGCCTGAAATCTGATTTGTTCTATCTTCAAGACTTCATTGTATTATTGATTTTTTTAAAAGGGGAGGAAATTTCACCCATTAATTAAATGGTAAACATAACTGGGCAATGAAGATTGGATTTTTTTCCCTGCATAAGGTCACTTACACCCAGGATCAGACCACAAGAGCTTCCTTAGTGAAGAAACCCAATGCTTTCCGCCCCAGAGAGCCACCCAGCTCCAACACCATGCCCAATTGTGTGGCTTCCTTTCAGTCATGCACCTCCAAGACTCTTAGTAACTTAAGCTATTCTTGATTTTTCCCAGGGAAAATGAGATTTAAATACTTGACTGCTTCAAAGGAATGTTGTCATGAATAATTTGAGGAGAGCTGAAAAGAAACAAAGAGAGCCACTGTCTAAGGGCATGCTGGCAGGACATACCTGCTTCCACCAGAATAACCAGACAGGCTGTGTGGAATGGAACTGAGGATGACAGGCAGGAAGAAAGGAATGAAGAAATCAAGGAGGAAAAATAATTTCTTTGCTGACTGAAGAAGCTGCTGCTCTATCACAATCCCGGTCAGCCCAGGGGAGGTTTCAGACACTGACCCTTTTCCCACTTAACTCAGTTCTAAGTTACAAGTGCATCTGATTGGCAGAACCTTAAAGAAGCCTTAAAAATGTGATTTCTAGCTTTGTAGCCTCTGAGGTACAGGAGGACATGCTAGAAAGACATTAAGACGGACAGGGAGAAGGCCACAGAAACCACAGCATGTGCCACACAATAGATAGATATAACAATACTCAGAGAAAGCAGGTATTTTTGAAAGAAAACAAAACACAAAATAGAGTCAGGTGAGATTCGATGATGAGTCATAATCTACTTCAGGAAGCTCCTGGTGATCCACTTACCCTCCCAGTCACTAATAGCCAGCCCCATATAAGTTGAGTCTGAGTAAGGATGGAACATGTATAGCAAACATCCTTCCACTTTCCCTTTCTAATCCTGTGGCAGACATTAATAATCAATCGAATCACTTTTGTGGTAAATCTAGACTCAATTTCAGATTCCTTTTCAGAGCAATGCATCAGGCAGCTGGTAACATCAATCAGAACAAATAGGCAACTTGGAAATTGTCATCCTTCACTCAGAGTCTTCACAACATTTTACCTTTAAAAATGGTCTGTCTGCTGAGCTGTCAGCTATTGCCACAAAAATTATAGGCAAAAATGAAACAAAACAAACAAATATAAAACAACTCCCCAAAATTCAGTGGTTTTATTATTGCTAATGCGTCTGCCATGTTGGCTGACCTAGATTAGGCATGGCTGACCTAGATTAGGCATGGCTCCACCTGTCCTTCATCCTCCCTGGACCAATGGGCTAGTCCAGGCATGCTCTTCTCGTGAGATGACCAGTGCACAAGAGGGGCTATAGAAATGCACAGCTCAGGTTTGGAACTGGCACACTGTCATTTCTATGCACAGGTCACTATCAAGAACAAGTCACAAAGTTGGGCCCAAAGTTAAGGGCAAGGAGATAGAGTTCAGTCTCTATAAGGCCCCAGCAAGGGTGCAGAAGCAAGGGGCAACAGGGAATTGGGTACAATAAAGCAATCTACCACAGGCCCTTGTCAAAGGTCATTGTCAGCTCACAAAAAAATTGAGTGTAATCTCTAAGTTTCATTGCCAACAACCTTGAGAAATTCTGCCCTACTTTGTAAGACATTAGATCTTGTCAACTAAGAAAGTTGATCCACATCAGAGGCCCATGGCAACAGCACTGTCATCTAAAGGCATCAATTTGCTTCCATTACTCAGTGCCTTTTATGAAGAAGGTTAATTCCATTTAAATTTGTGATTTTGATAGTCTCAGAAAACAAATGTAACCTGATGGTAATAATAAGTCCTAGAGTATATAGGGTGCTATAAATTTTTGGTTTATTGATGCCATGACTAAACGAATTGCTAACAAAATATGTTTTAACTATAATATTATGAAAACATGCCATTTAACTATAAATCTTCACAACATGAAAAACAACTATGTAATTTGGTGTTACATATTGCACTCATAATCACTTTTTTGGCACTAGGTAGAAGAAAACTATGAAAACATTTACTGAATCCACCAATGCTATAAATGCCTTTGGATAATTTTTCTACCAAGAAAGCTACATTTCAGAACACTTCGTGTTCCTGATTCCTTTTAACACAGCTTAGTCTTAGTACTTGCATTAAAGATTTTCTTTCCTCTTTCTCCCTTCATGCTCAAATCTATAATCGCCAATGATCATGCAAGGTGGGGAAAAGGGAAGGAAAAGATGTTGGTTTAAAAAACTAAGTGAGAGAATACTTTTAAGAGAAAATTATCTTTCCAACATCTTGATTGGCCTGTTGTTGTAGAAAGATATCCCTTAAGATTATGCAGGATGGTCCAGGAGTGAAGAAAAGAGAATTAAATTGTTCTATGCAAGAAGTAAGAAGTTTTTGTGGAAGTGGGGTGGGGGAAGGTGGTGTCTGAGAATATAGTAGAAACTGGGGGAAGAGATAAAAGAGTTTGAAGAGAGAAAGAGGTTCAAGGCAGGAGATGAGAGAACAGATGGTTATGCAGAAATCCGAAGTTGTGGGCATAGCTATTGATCTTAAAGAAAAGGGGTAGTTAATATTCTATTTTAAATTGCTTGCTGGGCTCTGCTGCAATATCACACAAACCTGACATCAACCTCCAAGTCACTGGTAAAAGTCTACAGTATATTTCATAGAAATCAGAGAAAAGAACTCTTCCCTTCAAGTTAACCAAAAGCGGAGATAAGGGAATATCCACAAAAGATGAAACAAAGAAGAAGCAGAATTTGGTGGAAGCAGAAAATGTGAGCAAGAGGTGACCACACGAGGGGCGCCTGGGTGGTTCAGTCGTTAGGCTTCTGCCTTCGGCTCGGGTCATGATCCTGAGGTCCTGGGATCAAGCCCCTCATCGAGCCCCACATCGGGCTCCCTGCTCGGCGGGAAGCCTGCTTCTCCCTCTCCCACTCCCCCTGCTTGTGTTCCCTCTCTCGCTGTGTCTCTCTCCGTCAAATAAATAAATAAATAAATCTTAAAAAAAAAAAAATAAGGGGTGACCAGATGAAATGAGAGCAGGGTTGCCAGATAGAATAAAGGACACCCACTTAAATTTTAATTTATGATAAACTTTTTTGCAATAAGTATATCTCAAATATTGCTGGGACATACTAATACTTAAAACAATTAGTATTATTATTTACTAAATCTAGCACCCCTGAATGCAAGCCTCTTCCACTGAAAAATCCTTAGCAAGCTTGTGTTTCTCTTTCTAACTTGTGATGGGGTTTCAGATCAGTTTTATTTAAATTCATTAAACATAATTCCCCACCTTCCAGCAGACAGGAGGACCTGAGGAATTCCAGACAAGTGAATAATACTAAACTTATCAATTTACCTTGTTACTAGCTATTAATCTGTATTAACCTAGTCATCTATTTCCTATGTCTTTTTGGTATGGTCATAGCACTTTGAAATGGGGACTACCCTCCCAGTGAATTTTGCCTCCTATGCTACAGAAAGAATAAAAAGTAAACACCAAAAGTAGGCTGCTTTTTCTGGCATTATAGACGATTAGATGCTCTGAACAACCCTCACAACTGAATCAACTGAAACACAGGATAAAATGTTTCTTAAAATATTTTAAATGCATCACTGAGCTGTCACAAAGGAATCTTACAGAATCCAAAAATGAAACGAGAGCAGGAACTCTAGGTGGTAAGCAAATATGAAACTCTGCATGGAGAGTTTGTACTAAATCCTAGAGACACATTTAATAAAACTGCAGAGTGCATGGCTGGTGGGGGGTGGTGGAGCGTGTAAATCCTAGCTACTACCCAAGGTAGGGCATCAGATGGAAGACCCTGCACAAAGCTGAGATCATACAGGCCAACACACTCAGAAAAAGTAATAAAAAACAAACCCCTCCATGCTGAAAGCGATAGTCCACCTCTATCTTGACACTGGGTGGAAAAGGAAAAAATATTCTCCTTGAAATCTCATAACCAGAGTGTTCTCACAGGTTCACAGTCTAAATTCACACCAACACTGTGGTCCAAACACCCAAGCAGAGAATTTAAAGTGGCCCCAGCGGACTTCTGAAAAAGAACAATGACAGCAGTGTGAAATTGTTGAATCTCCCCCAAACTCATCCTGAAACCTAACCAACCAAACAAAAAAGCCTGGCAAAGGCTCACCACCAAAAGAAGACCCATCCAAGTAGAAATCTGGGGGGCAGGTGTGAGGGCTACCTGGTGAAGCTGAGAGGAGCCCTCCCAGGCTTCAAGTCTTGGTGCAAGAACTATCAGTGGGGCTGGGAGAGGACCAACACTGCTACCGTGGTCTCAGCCATCTCAGATGCCTTTCAGAATCTCAGAAATACTCCGTTCTTCCTCCCCCACACCCCAGTGCCTTCCACTGGCACACCCGTGAGAAGCCAGCTGATATGGGAAGCTGTGTCAGCTTCCTACACTACAGAGCAAAGCAGGGAGGGATGAAGAATGGGGCCACGGGCCACCAGGCAAGCCACCCATTTTCCTGCAGCTGTGGGGCAACACTTGTCAAAGAGTGACTGTGAGGGGCAGAGCCTCCGACGACTACATTGAACTCATCAGGTTTGAGGTCATTTGGTACTGCAGCACAGCCTTGGCAGGCACAGAAATTGGTATGAGAAGGGGGACCCTGCTAATAAGAAAAATACCCTCAATGGGTGGCCCTGGCTTTGTGCTCAGTTGGTCAGCAGCAGAGGCTAGAATGGCAAATCCATTTTATACATAAGGGAGCGTTTGGTGGAACTGTCACTACAGGAGCCTGGAAGGCAGCTCATGTATCTAGTGAATTTATAATCCTAGCAGGAAATTTCAGAAGAAAAAAATGGTAGCTCTATGTTTTGGTTACGATTGGCTGCATTCAATAAGGTGCCACAGGGAAGAAGGGAGCTCGGAGATTTGGTTGGCTTTCAGAAAAGGATGAAAGAGAACAGAGTCCGCAAATTCAGGGATCTGTACAGTACAGGAGGCAACCGCCTCTCAACCCCAAGAGTAAAAGGTAACATTGAGCAAGTTTTGGCATAACAAAGACCTATTAAAGCTCAGCTTTGGGGCAAACATCTGGCCAAGTTATGGACATCTAAATTCAGAGATCAAATCCTTCAAAATGATAATGGTGGCAGGGAGTAGAGGTTGAATTAGCAGTGCGGTAATCAGTAAACACTTTCATTGGAACATTGGCTCAGGGAAAAGATACTGTGCCTATCTGGGATTTGGGGTTGTTTTTTTAAACACAGATACTAAGATCAGAAGATGGCGACCAATTTTTTGTAAATTTGAAAAACAGATGAAACATATCAATCCCTAGGGGGGGAAAAGTCCTTACCAACAATAACTGAAGAAATAGAAAATCTGAATATTCCTATAACCATTATATAAACTTAATTAATATTTTTAAAACCTCCCCCAAAAGAAAAGTAGGCCCTGAGAGCTTCAGAGACAAATTCTACCAAATATTCAAGTAAAAAATAACTCTAATCTTACATAAACTCTTCCAGAAAACATAAAAAGAAATGTTACCCAGTTCATATTCTAAAGCTGCCATAATTCCATACCCAACCCAGACAAAGACAGCACAAGAAAGAAATCAGTTACCCAGGTCGGGGTAAACTCATGAAGAAAAATGTAAATATTGTAAGGAAAATATTATAACTCTGAATCCCAAAATGTGTAAAATGATCATGTAACATGACCAAGTTGGTTTTCCTTCTCAGGAATGAAAGGTTGTCTTAAAATTAAACATCAAGTAATCTAAATGATCATTCCAATAGATATAAGAAAAGCATTCAATAATATTCAATATCCACTCATGATTTTAAAAAGAAAAACTAAAGAAACTGGAAATTGAAAGTCTCTAACTTATCAAAGGATATCTAAAAATAACTGACAGCAAAGCATATTAGGACTCTCTCCACCCCTCCCCACTGTTCATGCGCTCTCTCTCTCTAAAATAAATAAAAGAAATAAATCTTTTAAGAAAAGTATAATTATAAAGGCAGGCATTAGAATAAAATATATTAAAAACTATAATTTTTTAAAATAATAGCCTCCACATTGAAAATTTATCTAAATATAACATTCATATGTACATTTTGCTTGGTATCTCCCCCTCCCCTTCCCCCCCTTCTCGGGGACTCTGCTAAATGTAGTGCTTTCCAGCATTTTACTGTCATGCACTCTCTGGTACAAGACATCGATGGCTATTTAATACTGCATCTATTTAACACTGCACTAGAGATTTTAGCCTGGAAAGTAAGACAAGAAAAATATACCAAAAACGGATTTGAAAGGAATAAATACGTCAGTACTTGCATCTCCTATGATTGTCTACATAGAAATCCAAAACAGCAGCAAATTATTAGTAACAGAGTTTAACAGTTCCTTTTTACAAAGCCCATAAGAAAATGCCAATTGCATTGCTCTACACCCTTATCAATCAGTCAAGAAATCATAATTTTTTAAGATACTTTTTTTTTAAAAAAGATGCATTTAGCTAGGGAAAATAACAAAAGATGTAAAATGTTTTACTGAAAAAAAATATAAAACTTTACTGCAAGACTGTGAGAGACCTAAACGAATGGAGAGATAGGCAAGATTCTTGGATAGAAAGATTTAATATCATAATGAAGTTAATTCTCACCAAAATGATCTTTAGAGTCACTTATATACTTTTCAGAGCCCCAAAATATTGTTCAGAGAAACACGCAAAAGGAAAACAACTAGGAAGAGGAAAGTTAACACAAATGTCAGGGTAGTTTCCTTTGGGTGGGGCTGAGAATTAAATTCAGAAGGGGTTCATAGGAGGCTTCGGAGATCTTAGTTTCTGTTCCTTAAACCGAGACACAGCTACACAGGTCTTTATTATTTTTCATTAAACTTTACATTTGCATTTTATACATGTTTGACTATATGTTTCCAAATTGAGATTTTAAAAATAATATTAGTAAATAATTTGCCCAAATTGTCTACCAGCCTATAGTTCCCCCCAAAATTCCTGGTAATGTTAACCTATTAGACTTGGTAAGTACCAAAAGGGTCAACACTTCTTGTTCTTCATCCTATTTTCCATTGTCTAGTATAGTACCTGGGATGGAAAAATAGCTCCATAAATATTTTTTTAATGAGTGAATAAACAAAGGCTCATTAATCCTCTATACTGGCATGCATCCATGCCAAAGCCAATTATTCTCATCCTTAGAACTATGCTTCGTATTCATGTATCTCTAAGCCCTGCTGGTGTTCCTATTATTTCCTGCCCACTGTCTACTGGATTTCCTCTCTGCTGAAATGCTTGACTCACTTCCTCATATATGTTTAATGAAGCTGTCAGCAAAGCACTTTTTCATCAGACAGCCAGGCTTAAGTTTTACTTAAGCATGCTTTATTAGCATGCCTAATTCTACTTCCAGAAAACACAGTTAATTAAACTACCAAATCTGTGAGTGTGGCCCGTAATCACTTTTGGCATTTAGTAGCATTTACACACCAAGGGAAATTGGGGAACCCAACCCCTCTGCTGGGACTTGAGTAGCATGGCAAGAGCTGGGGCTTATGCATGAAGAAGGAGCTGAGGCAGTAGTTGGACCACTGTAGGAGCTTGGGCTCAGACACCAGCAGCAACAGTGACTGGAGCCCATTCACTGTAGCCCCTGGCAACAAACACCTGAGGCTCTGGGCTCTGGGCTCAGTCCCCACGAAAAGCTACCATTGGACTATATTTCTCCCTAGGAAGTTAGTGCATTTTTTAAAAAGAGAGTCATGGTACCCTCCATACTTCCCAGGGGCTCATGTTCATGAGTGGCTTTGGGATGGGGTGTCTTCTGATAACCGTGACAGGGTACATCAAGCAACTTGGGGATTTCTAGGCCTTTTGGGGAGAAACTGGGAGTCTGGGGCAGATGTGGCAAAGTTGACACATATCCAGACTAGCCCACTCTCAGACAGCCACAGAGATCTGAGTCTATGAGGCTTCTCCTCCTACCATTCCTCCCCAAGCTTCCCTCCAGGTTCCAAGGCTACATATGTAAATTGAGTTTCCGCAGTAGGGCCCAAAACTCCCCAAGGAAGATATGTAGATTAATCTCTAAATATAGTTCTGGGCTAATCAGATACAGAAACATAACAAATTCAGAGTAGGAAAGTAAACTTCAAAGAATTCTAGTTCTTGGGTCTCAATTGCTTTCTAAGGTGGTTTACGCCAGAATCATGATGTTGAGGCCCCTTCTTGCCTCCAACAAAATGTCTTCCAAACAGCACCAGCAGTTTATGACCCCGGTGATGGAATTCAGGTGGTACCACTTTGCCTGACAATCCAAGCTGCTCTTGCCCCTAAAGATGTGTAGCTTTGAGTATGGTCATGCAACCCCTCTTAGCCTCTCTTTTCTCATTTGTAAAATGGGGATCACAAGGCCCTCCTTGTAGGGTTGTTGAGAGGGTTAAGGATATGACATATTTGAGATGAGTTGCACAGAGTAGGTACCCAATAAACAGGAGGTATCTCTATTAATATTATCATTATTATTCCATTACCCTTTCACATTGCCTTCTGGCCTTGCAGAGATGATCTCTCCCTTCCTTCCCATAAGGAAGGATGAGACTTAATGAGACATAATGAGACTTAAGCATTGACTTGACCCTGAAGTCAGAATATCCTGGGTTCCAATTATGATTCTGCCAATCAATAGGGCTGTGACCTTAAGCAAATCTTCTTGAAATCCATTGGAATAATAATAGTCCCAGCCTCAAAAAATCCTTATCAGCTAATTCATGGAATCAGTTTGCTAGATTTTCTGAAAACAATAATAATTATTATTATTCCCTTAATTCCTCAACTCAAATTCCTAGTATCCCAATGCAGATTATTTATACTAAGAAACAAATTATTAACAGATTGAACCCTAAGAATTAGGGTTATTTGTAAACCAAGAGAAAGTTCTTGTTAGTGGGAACACCGGAAAGATACTTTTGAACAGGAGGCTCTCCTGGCCTCATGGGTCCCTCTCTCCATACCCACATGCTTGAGAGCACAGCTTCAGAACTGCTTCTGATGTCCAGGAGAAGTCTGACGCCTGCTCTGGACACTTAGAGACCAAAAAGACTGTTCCTGCTCATATTCTTAGACGAGTACAACAGGGGTTATTAAGCAATTATTTCCTTGATATGATCCTCTCTTCAACTTTTTTTTTGACAGTTGTTCCCTCTTCTCTTAATTTGGCAATTTAACATCTCTAATTAAAGATACTTCTGTACCCCAGAACCATTGTGATTGTATCTTGCATATCTACCCTGGGGACACATAGGGTATTGCCAAGGCTCACTTTGCGCAGTGCCCCTGTGCCTTGTGGGAGAGATGTTGCAGGGGGTTTGGGGGTGTCTTTGAGGCTGTTTGAGGGCAGGCTGATCTGCCTGAGCAACAACATGGACTCCTTTTTTTTTTTAAGAGTTTATTTATTTATTTATTTATTTATTTGACAGAGAGAGAGAGAGAGAGCACAAGTAGGCAGAGCGGCAGGCAGAGGGAGAGGGAGAGGGAGAAGCAGGCTAAGCAGGGAGCCCAATGTGGGACTCCATCCCAGAACCCTGGGATCATGACCTGAGCAGGAGGCAGATGCTTAACTGACAGAGCCACACATGCGCCCCAACAACAGTGATTCTTACAGCACTTTTCTTTCACAGTAAAATTCCTTAACATTTGTAATAAACTAATTTGGAGACCATCTATTTATTGACTATACACACACACACACACACACACACACACACACACACACACTGGATATCGCCTCCATGATGCTGGATTTAATCACCACAACATGCCCAGCACCTAGCACCATACTGCCCACCAAGTATGTACTTAACAAATATCTACTGAATAAATGAGCAAACAAAGTTTCCAATGGAAGGAGGTTCTTTATGTCCCTCTTTCTTTATGTTTCCTCTTTCCTCTTTTAGGATTTTAAGGGCCAATAATTCAGAACTATTGAGAGAGAGGGAAAGAAA